TGTTACAAACCTTTCTCAAAAAGTGATTCATTTTGCAGTGGCATCACACTACCTATGAAATGACATACAATGTCCAAATGTAATTCTTATACATGCTGTTCCAATGCAATTTTATATCAGTTTCAACTGTTGTGTGATTTGCTGATTTACATATTAAAATTGGCCCCTAGTAGCTCAGTGGTAAGTCTCTGGTCTTGTACACTAAAACTGTTTCAAGCCTGTGATGGGCACAGCACAGATAACCTATTATGTAGCTTTGTGCTTAACTAAAAACAAACATGTTAAAATCATTTTAATATAACATACTCAACCCTGTATATTTATGACTATTGTAGCAGTATACTAACATTTTTTCTTTTTGTATTTGAGTACTTACAATATGGTAGTAATGAATATAAACCCTTTAACCTGAGTGCTTTTGAAAGGTCTACCTTTCGAAAGTGCTCGAGTTATAGGGTTTTTATTCATTTCTTGCAAGACTTTTTGAACCTACGTGTTTTTCTAACATCATGAATGCAATATGGTAGTGATGGTTGAATACTAATCATTGTCATCTAAGCCTAATTGCTTATAGTTCCTAAGTTTATTGTTGTTATTATTTTCATCCCTAATTAACACTTAATTTATATTTGCTTGTAGTTAGTAATCTGCTAGTGTCTTCCTGAGAAGGACTGTTTATGGTGAAAAAACTTGTATTCACACATTTTTGTTTTTGCTGTTAGAATAGCAAGTGTGCTATCTATCCACTTGTTCAGACTAACATCATCCAGTTTGACTTGTCTAATTACTTGGATTTTTTTAACAGAGGTAACCAGTTTTACTGACTTCTGTCTTAGATTGAATGTGTGTGTTACCAGTTCTTTTATCTGTATTTTTTTCTTTGTGTGTTACACGTAGTCCATGATTTTAGTTATTCAAAAATGCAATCCTCCCCATACAAAACTGCCATCACATCAGAAGTGATTATATAGTCTACTAACCATGGCAATAGTGGTTTTTACTTGTTTGTATTGTATTTTTTCCTTTAAAAAGAAATGTCAAGAATCTTTAGAAATATTTTTGGGAAAAATGTTCAGCAAAGTATTAGAAATTTTTTAAAATGTTGACTGTAGATATTTGTTTGTATTGTATGGTCCACATCAGCTTCAGGTCGTTTGAATTTGTCAAGGCCATTGAAACAGTTTTAGTCCTCTTCTTAGTTTAGTCATAGGGCTTTCTGTTAGTATATTTACTGGTTTCTTCTTCATGTAGTTCTCTCTTATTATTGAAAATACTCAATATCATAATCTTTCTTGCCTTGTGGTAGTTTGTCATATTTCTTAAACTGTTCCCTGTTAACAAGTTTATGAAGTTGCTTTTCTCTGATATAAATGTTTGCTGATTTTTTACACAGATGTATTTTCAAAATAGGTGTGATGGAGATGTTGCAAGTATTTGATTAAGTCGAAATATTTCCTAAAAAATGTTATAACACTAACCTGAATGAAAATTTTATAGATGGCAGTTGTTAGCCTTTATAAGTGTATGTGTGATTATGATAGGATTTTCTATGAAAAATTATAGAAAACCCTTAAATTAAAAAAGAGTGGTATATTTTTTGTGGGCATGTAGTTCTTCTGTAAAAGAAAATGACTGACTATTATCTTCTAGAATTCCTTTTTCTGAGTAATTTTCCATGATACACATGAGTCCTTAGATAAGTATAATCATTTTAATGTCCCAAGATATACCATATAATACTGTGTTACGTGGCCTATTCTCTCAATCATAATATAACAGATGAGATATATCTCTGTCCCCCAGTGGGTCAGTGGGAAGTCACACAATTACTAGTGCTAAAATCTGGGGCTCAATTTCACATGGTGAACATAGCAAAGATAGCTCATTTTGTAGCTTTTAGCTTGTATATTCAAACTTTTTTGTATAGTTCCAAAAGGCTTTGCTTCCCCTGATCCAGAGTATCATCATTTAAAAGTTTCCTTCCTTTTGCAGAAACTAGTTTTTTCCAGTAACCAAAATACAGCAGTGGAGAGAATGGTTTCTATTTGTAGTAGAAGTATTTATAAATTTCTTTCTTTTGCAGACACTGTATTTTTCCAGTGATCAGCATATAACAGTAGGGAGCATTGCTTTATTAATATTATAATTATAATTTTTTTCCTTTGCAGACTACAGTTTTCCAGTGACTAGCTTACTGCTGTTGAGAGGAATATGAAAAATGTTTAATTGTATAGTAGTGGAGTGGAGTATTTTTTTCCTGATTCCCTTATTCTTATCCTTTATTTTTAGATTGCAAATCTCCTGTTCAAATTTCACCTTTGAGTGTCGATTTTTTCGTATTGAGCTTTTCCTTATACAAGGATGGATTAACTGTCCTACTAGTGGAGATCTTGGATTTTTACATGTATCAGTTGATTAGTGTGTTAGAAATACTTGTCTTGAAGTCTTATCTCTGGGCAGTAATCATGCCAAAAGGAAATACTAGGTTTTAGCAGAAAGTGGTTAGCAAAAATATTCTAATGTTTATCTTGTAACAAAATGGTATAGGAAGTTGGTTATTGTTTCACTTGTAACAGCACTTTGCGTAGTTGAATTCCTAGCCATTTTTCAACATGCAGTGGGCACTTAAATGTCATGAAAAATCTATCATACTGGTTCTTATCTTAGAGTAGATGTGTTTTGATAGCCATTTTTCAACATGCAGTGGGCACTTAAATGTCATGAAAAATCTATCATACTGGTTCTTATCTTAGAGTAGATGTGTTTTGATACAATGGTATTAGTGACTAAAAATAAACCATCTGCATCAAATAAGATAAGTAAGAAACTTTTTCTGCTGAGCAGGTTTACCCATGTGATGATGTTACTACTATATATTATATAAGCAAATAAGATAATATTTACATCAAGAAGGAAGGACTATGTTACAAACAGCAAGACCAAGCCTCTGATGAAATAAAACATTTGTAAAGCAAACAAGCCTGTAACAAAAATGCCACACAACAGAAAAAAAAATTTCACCAGGACATAGTCTATAATATGAGGTGTAAGATGTGTCCTCGTTTTTGGTAGTTACTGCAGAAATCGGACCCACATAGTGGTGGTGATACACCATCTACCAGTCTTAACCTCTGTTTACAAAGCCTCATATGTAAAGAAAAATAATAGAAGAGTAAAATAAGAAACAATATAAGAGAATAAGATGTAGGTGTTCAAGCTTACAACATCCCACATCATTCTTCACTGCCAGCAGAAAGTTGTGGGAAGATTACTGCTCTTAGAAGAAAAGAAGTGAAAAATAAATAAGAAAAAGTCCTACTATTTGGTGGTGAGTAAGAAAATCTGTCTTCTGAAGTAGGCATTCCAACCTCCATTATGGTAGTAAAAGCTCAAATTAATAAGGTAATATTAGTAGCACAGCAGAAAAATTATACTAGATTGAATTCCCTTCTAAGCTTTTGGCTGAAAAGGAATTGTGTCTAAGATTAAGTTGTTGATTTTTATCCAATGGCAATGCACCTGTACTTGTTATTTGTTTTTCACCTTTAAGACAAGACTTAATTTCTTTTTACTTTTTAACACATACAACACTTCTTTCTTTTTCAACTTTTCATGAACTTTCATATCTAGTACCTGATATATATTAGTAGTTTTCAAGATAGTCGATAGAGAGACATCATACACATTATCAAGATTATTATATTACGTTTATATTAATTGGAATTGTCTCATTAGCAAAACAATTATTTTTTCACATCATGCAAAGTATCAGAGCAATTCTTTCTTCGTAGTAAACTGCATCAAGTAAATTTTCATTTGAGTGTATGTAGAGATGTATTCAAACTGTATTAGTTGTGATGGTTTGTATCATTTGTACATCAAGTAAATCATTTGGTATGCATACTATCTAGGTCAGCAAGATAATTAATTTTATACTCAAATTCAGATTAAGTTATTGTTTGTTTTTGCTTAGATCAGTAAGATAGTATTTTTTTTTGTGTAATGATTATCATAATTGCTTATTATACTACTTGTCAAGATAATTGGTTTAAATTACTGTGTTCAAACAGCATGTTGAAATGCTTTCATGTTGTTTTTTATCTGAAAAATGATTAAAACTTGAAGGAATTGTTCAATATGTAGTAACTTCAGTGTGTATCATATGAAATAACATGTTTTTCTTCTTGTCCTAACATAAAAAGCACATGATGATTTAAATTATATTTTTCAGTAAAGTTTGAAACTAAATTGTTTTTACCTGAATATATTTTTAAAAGAATGGTAAAAACTTCAGTAACTATACAGTATGTGTGGCATATTAAATAACAAAAACATTACTTGTGAAAAATTGTGTTTGGGCCTAACTTACGTTAGGTACATTGATTAAAGTGAAATCCTTTTCATTAAAGTAAGCTTTGAAACCATACTTCTTTTTACTTAAATGTATTTATGTGAATGGTGAAAATTTGGAGGAATTGTGCACTACACAAGCACTGCAATGGCTACCATATGAAATGAAATACTATTTGTAAAAATTGCATGTTTAGACCTGATGTAAAAGGTACACTGTATAATTTAAATCATGTCATTTTAAGTAAAATTAACTGAAACCAAACTGCTTTATGTAAAATGTTATAGTAAGGTTATGGAGACATACAAACATATTCCACTTGGATGTGTTTGTTGTATTGAATCACTCTAGTTTGAAGAGATTTCTTTTAGATGTGCAAATTAAGTATAAAAAAATCATAAACATTTGTGTAGGAAATTAGTTGTTTACAACATAATATTAGTTGAAGGGAAGATACTATCTGCAAGAGTGTGGTGGTGTACTTATTGAATTAAGAAAGAATTTCAGAACAGATGATATCTGGGAATTGTGTGACAAGTACATTGAAATTCAAGGGGTATTTTAGCAGTGTTTTTCAGCATTAAAAAATTACTTAAATTATGTTGTACGAGCTTTGTATTAAATGATTCCTAATCTTTTTTTTTTTTAGCTTTTCATGCTGTTTACTTGGAGACTTTCTCAGTACAAGACTTATTGCAGAAACTGAAAGACGTTTTCAGGCTTCAGAAGGAGACTGTGAACGGAATCTATATGATGGGTCCTTCAGGAATTCATTTTCATATCACAGATATGGTAAGGAAAAGAAGGAGCAGATTCATTCAGATTTTATAATTTTGGTCATTTACATGTAGAGACAGACAGTGTTTTAGAGAAAAAAAATATATTTTAAACTTTTTTATTACCAACACACATACAGAATGTACCAACAGTTTCTAAAATGGTACTACTCCTCTTTTTTTATGCCACAATTAGTTTTTAAATATACTACAAATAAGGAGAGTGGCACTAATCTTGCATCAGAATGCAAGTTTTTCTGAAGTTATAAAAACTGAGAAAATATCAACTGAAACCAAACTTTTTCAGAAAATGTGCAGTATGTGATATATGATTGGGAGAAAGAATAATTTCAAATTAGTAACTTACAGGAATGAAAAATCATTTCACACACAAACAGTGTACCCCAACATATTTTGTGTCTTACTTCCACTGGTATCTCAAAAACCAGGCTCATTACATAATGACCCACCTTATGATTTGTGCTCTGGTGTTGGATGTTTGTTTTGTGGCTTTAGTTCTTTGTTTTTTCTATATATATATATATATATATATATATATA